ATGGGTTAAATAAACTCAATAAGCAGACAGACTACAGTCAAGCGCAGACCAGTATTGAAGTGCACAGGAAATAAGCAGCAGTCATATTTAAAGCAGTTTACATTAATATTGAGTACTGATTGATGTTCACTTGGATTTTTTTCCCCATAGAGGGGAAATAACTTAATACTCGTCGTATAGTAAAATGTATATTTTAATTGTGTAACGTTATACGTTCAAAATAACTACAAAATGTCATGCCTTTGAAAAATAAAGAGAACAACAGTCTCTGTCTCCTTGCGCATCTTTCTGGCGCATGCCACAAACATGAACCACAGGGAATACTTGTCTTTTAAAAGGCTTCATTTAGATTATTTGACGTTAAATGCATCATATAAGTCACTTTGGAATAAATCACAGTAGGCCTATGTATCATGATAAAAAAAAAGCAACTTTACAGTCTGGAAATACTTTAGGCTATAGCAAATTAATTCTTGGACCCCGTATCACTTTAAGAACCGCTGGTCTACACCGAAGAAAGACCTGTCTAGACTCTGCCCCGGTACGAGTTGTGTCGAGCTATTCATTAGTCTGTTTGATGAGAAAAATATGAAATTAATAAAATGGGTTATTAATCCGTACAACTGCAGCAGCAGAGGACTATTATTCTGCTGCGTGATACTGCACAAGAACTGATGACGGCACGGTTTGATCTTCGGCTGACCAATCAGCAGAAAGGGCGTTTAGTTCCCGCCCACATGTAGAAATCGAATGTTCAAGCTGTTTATTAATTTTTCCACCTATGAACGAAAAACGAAAATTTAAGCTGAATTCTAATTTTTCGGGGAAAAAACGGAAAAGGAGCCGTTTTCTAATTTTTCTACTTTCAGTATTAAATCAAAAAACGAATGATCGAATGATACATGGATTGGAAACCCACCCAATCTGGCAACACTGGCTTAGAATTATTTGACCGCTTTTAACTGTCCTGTAGATGGCGCCGCGATCTCGAGCAGCGCTTTCAGGACCATTCTGTCCATGATGTTTTAGAGAACAGTCTTTTCGCAGTTTATTTAGGTAATAGCTTAAGGCCATTTGTGCGATTTCAATCATCATGCAAGTAACAAAATACCATCCCAGAGGTCGGAAAATGCGGAAATCCATAAAAATCACATCCCTGAACTGGATATTTATAATGTTGCATTTAGTCGTTATGTCTGTATATGCATACTTACCTACTATATTGTATGCAACAAAAAAAAAACAGTACACCAAAAAAGTAGTATGTCACAATTAATAGTATGCAAAAAAATAGTAGTGCATTTGATGGACACTTTACTATCACATTAAGCCATGGGAGAGGAGGCTCTGTAGCAGCGCAACTGACGCTGGTAGGTCATGTGACATGTAGTAATTTGATTCATATTAGCATATTCATACTATATAACGCACTCATTTTTAACTCTTGCAAAGTTTCCAAAATGTAGTTACCACTACCTCAGTATGTGATTTTTAGACGCAACTAGTGTTAGAGTATATGCATACTTACCTTGTAGATTGGATGCAACAAAAAAAAAACAGTACACCAAAAAAGTAGTATGTCACAATTAATAGTATGCAAAAAAATAGTAGTGCATTTGATGGACACTTTACTATCACATTAAGCCATGGGAGAGGAGGCTCTGTAGCAGCGCAACTGACGCTGGTAGGTCATGTGACATGTAGTAATTTGATTCATATTAGCATATTCATACTATATAACGCACTCATTTTTAACTCTTGCAAAGTTTCCAAAATGTAGTTACCACTACCTCAGTATGTGATTTTTAGACGCAACTAGTGTTAGATTAATATTATTTGTATACTATTAGTGTATTATATTTTGAATTTAGTATTCATTTCAAATTTAGTTTGCCATTATTTCGTTTTTTTATTTTTATTTCAGTTAGTTTTGTATTTTAAGTTAGTCAATTGAATACTTCAACTTATTTCTTTTAGTTGCCATGGCAACATTTCTTCAATTTTTAAATCTAATCTTATATTTATATTTGATTTCAGATGTATTTCAATTTAAAAAATCTTTAATAGTTTTGGTTTTAGCTAACAGTAAGTATTTTGTCAGCTAGTATGTGCATTGTATGAAGTGTTTTTTTGCTCTCGGTCAGTCCTCAGATGCAGATGTCCTGGCTCGGCCAGCAGAAGATGGAGGAGGTGAACAGGAAAGAACGCACAGCCATGAACTACATGAAGGCCCGTAGCGGAGGCGTACGACAGACTGTGTATGTGGCGAAAGAAATGTGGGATGTTTGACATGAGGAACGAGCTGTAGTTAATGTTACTTTGATGTCTCTAATCTAGACGTGGTCTCATGGAGGATGACGCAGAGCCCATCTTTGAGGATGTCATGATGTCGTCGCGAGGACAGCTGGAAGACATGAGTGAGGAATTCGAGGACACCATGGTCATTGATCTGGTAATCAGATGATGCTAGCAAATAAAAGTGTCTCAGAGTGCTTACGTAATTAAATATACTGTAGACAGAAATTCCAAATCACATGATCTTAAATTCTCTGCAGCCTCCATCCAGGAACAGGCGGGAGAGAGCAGAGCTAAGACCGGACTTCTTTGACTCTGCAGCCATGATTGAGGATGAGTCGGTAAGAATGAATCGCCAAGGCTTTAACTTATTATATAAATATAGAATTACACTGCCCTGCATCATATTTGCTGAATGAAATCCAATACTTGTTTCTTACTCATTTTGGGGTGCTGATTCCAAAAAATAGTGGCTGTTCTGCCCTAGCACATCACACTTTCTCATAAAATGTGATGTGCTTTTTGTAGCATTTTGGCCTTCGATAGCCATTTGTAAGGTGAGGACGTCTTGTATTATCCCTTAATCACCAGAAAAACTGGCTCAAAGCTTACAGTTTATAGCTTTGCTCAATTCTCATCTGATTTTCACATGTGAATGAATGATTTTGAAGACATTACTTTATGCCTAATCCTGATTTTAAGATTAGAATTATGGCAAGTGACAGAAGAAAAAGCAAACATGACCCAGCTACATACATGCTGTGTTTTACTACATCCAAATAGTGACCGAAAATTCAATTTTGTGGAAAAAAAGCTTATTTATAAGCTTGTGTTCCAATACTACATTTAATGTCAAAGAACGTCACATGAATACATTTTCCACTCCCTTGCAGTTTGTAAGTAAATTATGCATTTTGTAAACTACTTTTTGTCATTAAAACTTTTGAAATTTGACTACTTTGGTTATTTTGACAAGTGCGTTAAAGCTGATACATATAATTTGTAAAATCTTGTGTGTGTGTGTGTGTGGAAAAACTGTGTGATGAAAGTTTTTATTGATCTTTTTTAACCCAGCATCATCAAATTGGGTAATATTAGGCCTTTTTTTGCAAACCAGCCAAAATGCAGGGCTGTGTTGTCAGTAGGCCTGCATGAATATAAATATTTTTACTATTTCAAATAACTGCTTTCTATTGGAATATATCAAAATCAAAATCACAATATGACTTCCGTGATTGTCAATAAATATATGCAATGCACTTAGTGACCGAAAATTCAATTTTGTGGAAAAAAAGCTTATTTATAAGCTTGTGTTCCAATACTACATTTAATGTCAAAGAACGTCACATGAATACATTTTCCACTCCCTTGCAGTTTGTAAGTAAATTATGCATTTTGTAAACTACTTTTTGTCATTAAAACTTTTGAGATTTGACTACTTTGGTTATTTTGACAAGTGCGTTAAAGCTGATACATATCATTTGTAAAATCTTGTGTGTGTGTGTGGAAAAACTGTGTGATGAAAGTTTTTATTGATCTTTTTTAACCCAGCATCATCAAATTGGGTAATATTAGGCCTTTTTTTGCAAACCAGCCAAAATGCAGGGCTGTGTTGTCAGTAGGCCTGCATGAATATAAATATTTTTACTATTTCAAATAACTGCTTTCTATTGGAATATATCAAAATCAAAATCACAATATGACTTCCGTGATTGTCAATAAATATATGCAATGCACTTTTTAGAGCAGCTCGTGATCCAGCGTTTTCAGTGTTTCAGTTTGTGGTAAATGCTGCTCCACATCAAGTGCCAATGAGTTTGGGTTGCTTTAAAAATGCAACGTGCCAACCATCGTCCCAGATTTAATTATTTTATTTCCCAGATATATTATTTAAATATTATTAAATATAATTATTATTGTGTAGTCATATTGATATATAATCACAAAAATTGTCAAATTGTGCAGCACTACAAGCCAAAAATCTCTGTGACAGTTGTCCTGAAGGAGCATTACACTACATACTGTGTATTTTGGCTTGCAGAAGCATTTGAATGGTCAGTATTTTATTTCCAGTAGATTTAGCTCTAATGAGGTGAGGTTTATTTGTGCGGAACATCTATACGGCAGGGTTTTCGTCAGTTGCTCTTGTCCGGGTGAAACCGCAGGCTGCTGTGCCGTGTGTCGAGTCAGGCCTGTTTAAGTGCTTTATAGTCCTGTGCTATCAAAAAGTGAAATGTTATACTGTCAACAACATGAGTTTCCCATGATCATCATTATATTCCCCACCCTGAGCCCCGGTTAGTTTTGCTAGTGTACCTGTAAATTGTACATTTTCAATATATAACGGTTTTCTTTTGTACAACCTAGAAATGATGTACCACTTTCCCTTTTAATGGAAAACTGTTCTAAAACTTTTCTTCAGTGAACTTATGGAAAACTCACTTTTTCAGAAAAAAAAAATTAAATATGTAATCATGAACCGTGGGAGTGTTTTATTGATTTGAGAATGTTGAAATAGTGGCGTAATGCATATGAGTGGGAATAAGGCACAACAAACCATGTGGAAAAACATGCCATTCTCTCCAGTCTAACCACAGATATTGTCATAAAATGCTATAAAATTAGTGCTGAGATGAGATTTATAAGGGAATGTTGGCATGTTTTTTCCAGGGGTTGGTCTGTTTCTTGCTGGCGTTGCTCTTGTCCGGGTGAAACCGCAGGCTGCTGTGCCGTGTGTCGAGTCAGGCCTGTTTAAGTGCTTTATAGTCCTGTGCTATCAAAAAGTGAAATGTTATACTGTCAACAAGAGTTTCCCATGATCATCATTATTATTCCCCACCCTGAGCCCCGGTTAGTTTTGCTAGTGTACCTGTAAATTGTACATTTTCAATATATAACGGTTTTCTTTTGTACAACCTAGAAATGATGTACCACTTTCCCTTTTAATGGAAAACTGTTCTAAAACTTTTCTTCAGTGAACTTATGGAAAACTCACTTTTTCAGAAAAAAAAAATTAAATATGTAATCATGAACCATGGGAGTGTTTTATTGATTTGAGAATGTTGAAATAGTGGCGTAATGCATATGAGTGGGAATAAGGCACAACAAACCATGTGGAAAAACATGCCATTCTCTCCAGTCTAACCACAGATATTGTCATAAAATGCTATAAAATTAGTGTTGAGATGAGATTTATAAGGGAATGTTGGCATGTTTTTTCCAGGGGTTGGTCTGTTTCTTGCTGGCGAGCACCTCAAGGTCTCTACAGATCCTCTTGCGTGTGGTCGAGGGCTGAACGATGTCATCCACAAAGCCTGTGAAATACATGAATTATTATTTAGCAATAATACACAAATAGCAGCAGAAGCGAGCACACTTGTACCGCAAGCACAGTGTGGGGTAAACATGTTGAGCAAGCGCTGTGAAGATGAATGTGTTTTGTGTCTGGTGATGCACCTCTGACAGCAGCAGGGAAGGGATTGGCAAACTTCTCCACATATTCAGCTTCAGCCTCGGCTTGATTCTCCTTTCCTCTGAAGATGATTTGAACAGCACCCTTAAAAAAAATGTAAATATGTATTACTATATAGCACATTTCAGAAATATTATAAGGTTTCACACTTTCTGACCAATCAATTTCCATGATTTGTCCAGCTATTGTGAACACTGTATGAAGTCTTTTGGTTTAAAATCATAAATTATTCAAAATATATTCTGTTCAAAGGTTAAGAGTTGTTTTTGAAAACAAAATATATGATTAAAAACAGTAATGTTTTGAAATATTATTACAATTTCAAATAACGGTTTTCTATAATATATTTTATAATGTAATTTATTCCTATGGTGTCAAAGCTGAGTTTTCAGCTTTGAAAATTATCCTTCAGAAATCATTGCAATATGGTACTATATTTGGTATTCAACAAACATTTCTTATTATTAACTATGAATGTTGAAAACCGCTTTTGCTGCTTGATACTGTATTTTTGTGGAAACTGTGATGCACTGCATTACTTGTTGATCAAAAGTGACAGTAAAGACATTTGTTACAAAAGATATTTTTCAAATGTACTTTCAAGCAAACCTGGAAAAAATTATCCAGGTGTACACAAAATTGCAAAAAGCAGCGCAACCGTTTTCAACATGGATTATAATAAATGTTTCTTGAGCACCAAATCAGCACATTAGAATGATTTCTGAAGGATCGTGTGACAGTAATGATGCTGAAAATTCAGCTTTGCCATCACAACACAAAAATATTACTTTTTTAAATGTATTCATACAGATAAAGAACAGTAATGTTGTAAAGTTTAATGTTAAACGGTAATTAAAATTAATACAATTTTAATATTACCATTTTTAAATAAATGCAGCCTTGGTGATAATCTTAATGACTCCAAATTTGTGTGTGTGTATTTGTACGTTAAAATATAAAATATAAGGCTAATTCGTCACTGGAAAATCAATGTGCATCATTGTTGCTTTAGTGTCACTATTGGACACCCAGCAGAAATATTTATAGTTTGTACTTTAAACAGTCAACATGTGATATGATCGGCGCTATCCAAACTCTAAGTCAGCAGCACCTGTTACTCAACTCCAGTGTAGAAATGAAACGAGTAGAAGGATATTCTCAAGCAGCATAATCACCAACGAGAGCCAAGCATAGTGATCATTGCTGCAGTGTAAGTGTATATCAGCAGCAGCACTGGACTAAAGCTAGTGTGCAGCTCTCTGAACACTCTCACGTCTGTCTGCTCATTACAGTCTCGTGGTTACAGGGACTCTTTTATTAGGGACTGCTGGAACAAATGTATTTATATGGGATGGGACCAATTTTGATATCTATATTTATTTAGCCATGTCACTAGATTCAGCCCATTTTTCTCTAGGTTTACCTTTGCACCCATCACTGCGACCTCAGCACTTGGCCAGGCATAATTGACGTCTCCTCTCAGATGTTTAGAACTCATCACATCATAAGCACCTCCGTAAGCCTGGAAGACAGAACATACATTATTCAGCATACAAGACAGTTAGAACCATCCACACACACACACACACACACTCATCATTCTGCCTCCTACCTTCCTGGTGATGACAGTAATTTTTGGAACGGTGGCCTCTGCAAAAGCATAGAGCAGTTTGGCTCCATGTCTGATGATGCCTCCGTACTCCTGAGCTGTGCCTGTGGAAACAGAGCGTTCTCTCAGTGTCTTATTTAAAAAGGAAACACGTGCTGGTAATTCAGGATAAAATGAATTAGAAAAAAAAAAACAGCAAAGTTAAGGTTAGGATAACGAAAGTTTCTAGACACCTGGCAGGAATCCAGGCACATCCACAAATGTGATGATGGGAATGTTGAAGGCGTCACAGAAACGAACAAAGCGAGCCCCTTTAACAGATGAATTTATGTCCAAACAGCCTGAAAACACAAGGAAAATGACAAATTAAAAACTACTGTGACATGTATTAATGAAATTTTATATATAATATCCATTACCATTTAGGTTGGGGTAAAAACATTTTTTAATGTTATTGAAAGAAGTCTCTTATGCTTAGTGCACTATTAAATACAATAGAAATAAATACAGTAAAGCTTACTTTAATACAATGTAGTAGCACTTACTAGGAAAAAAAGTCTTTACTGCTGTCGCTTTTGATACATTTAATGTGTCTTTGCTGAATAAAACTATTAAAACAACAATGCTTAATAACCTCAAACTTATGATAATACAATTTAATATAAATCACCCACCAGATGCCACTTTAGGCTGGTTTCCCACTATGCCTACTGTCCGACCATTCATCCTGGCAAATCCCACCACAATATTTTTGGCGTAGTTGGGCATAATCTCAAAGAATTCTCTCTCATCTACTATCTGTAAGAGTGAGATGACAATCATAAGAACTGTGTGATGAGTTTTTACCTGACTATCTGAATCATTTGTTCTCTAAAGATGTACATACACCATGAACAATGTCCAGCATGTCATAGGCTTTTGTGCTTTCAAAAGGAACAATAGTGTCCAAACCAGGAACCAGCCGGTCACTGAGGAAAATAAATGGACATGATTCATCGTGAATCTGAAAACTGAAAACCCTAGCCAAGATAATTTGACTGATAAAGAAAAACAAATAATTGTACAAATGTGGGTTTCTCACCGAGGATCATGGCACTCAGTGACTGGAGCTGGATCTTTGTTGCTCAGTGGGAGAAAGTTAAAAAAGTCTCGCAAGTTCAGAAGGGCATCAATGTCATTCTCAAAGGCCCGATGAGCAACACCTAAAGGAAAACAAAATCTCTTTATATTACTGGTGAGCCAAGGAAATATTCAGTCAGATCAGAGAACAAAATTTAAAATTCCAAACATTGTCACAAAACACATTCAGATGTAAGCATAGGCTTAATAAACAGACCCACCGGACACAGTGGTATGGGTTTTTGCTCCACCCAGCTCCTCCTGGGTAACATCCTCATTTGTTACAGACTTTACCACATCTGGGCCTGTGATAAACAGATAGGAGGTGTCCTGCAAACACAGGCCATTTCATGAAAAACCAATGTGCCATCTGGGAACAAGTAACCTAAATTTAATTCAATATGCATTTATACTCTTAACTTGTATTTTCGTACCTTCACCATAAAAGTGAAGTCTGTCAGAGCAGGCGAGTACACGGCACCACCTGCACACGGGCCCATGATGAGAGAGATCTGAGGAACTACACCTGAGGCCATCACATTCCGCTGAAGAACAAATCCCATTGTCCAGAGTTAGTCCTGGATTACATACACTACCAGTCAAAAGTTTTTGAACAGCAAGATTTTTAGTGTTTTTAAAGAATACTCTTCTGCTCACCAAGCCTGCATTTATTTGATCCAAAATAGAGCAAAAACAGTAATATTGTGAAATAGTCCTTATATTTATAGCATTCAACACTCAAGGATAGACAAAACATCTTCGTTTCCTGAACTGAAACTGAACAAAAGTTTGCGAGACACACACACACATATATCTTTTTAGTCATTCAAGAGTCAAAAGTCACAATAATTTAAATAAACACATAGTGAGAGACGTAAAAGCAGAACAGACATCGACACCATAATTAGCTAGATGTTTTTATTGATTGTTACTAAATGTTATGTCATTTAACGAGAGAAAGTAATCATCTCAGAGTGTAGCCTAGATGCAGCACAGAGCCTCTGCTCGCAGTAGCGTGTGGTTATAATACAGTCAGACGCTAGGGGGCAGTAATCACTGGAGGCCGCGTGTAATTCCAGGCGCTCTTTTACGCTTGTTTGGTATTGTTCCTCAGGATGCAAAACTTAACAGAGAGGAATAATAAGCAACGAGCTGGCTCTCGGCATAGGCTAATGTATGTAAATATTTTGTAGCGTAGCGAACTCAGTTGAACGCTACATAAACATACCACTCAAATGGGAGTTTGCCGCACTAGTTGAGGAGAGAAAAGCGCTCTTATTCAACAACACGAAGAAAAGTGCAGACAATATTAGCTAGCTAGCGAACTAGCAACCAGGCGAATTGTGGTTTGTTCAGTTTAACTTTAAAAAACAACCGCTATGGTGGACTATTTCAGGATTTTTACTTTTTGTGCGACTCGGTTTTTTCTGTTTTTCCATTTCGTGTTTGTGGATCGTTTATACACAGAGCTCGCGCCACCGACAGTAACGTTACAGCTCGAGGCCTGTTGTGGCTCTCACTAAAATGCTGTTTATCGTTCAGTCCTTCGTGTCTGTGCGCTTTATCACAAAAGCTCTTTCTACTGAGGCATTTGGGATCTGACACGCATGGAAAGCAGACTCTAGTCTGTGTTACATCGCCTACACCAGCTTATTATCGCCGGACTGACCGTCTGGAGGATCTTCTCGATACCCAGCAAAGCTTTGACATGTTAACAAGCAGACGACTCAAAGCCGCTCATCTGCTTGCGAGTCATGTCAAACTACACTCTTTGTTTGAGGCGTTGGGTGAAGCCTGGTTGATTGTGTTCTCACAGTTATCGTGGATCGGGGGTCTGAGCAAGACTCGCTGTCAGTAGCCGATCAGCCCGCTTCTTCGTCCTGCCGTTGACTGATCTCACTGAGATGAACCCGGTGAACGCCACCGCGCTGTACGTATCGGCGTGCCGCTCTCTTCTGCAGTGCGACCCGAAGGACCCGGACACATACGGAGGGCTGTTTAACGTCCTGCCTTTCTTTAGAGACTCCCTATCCTGCTTGGTGTGCGGTAAGTGCTTTTATGTACCAGAGGTCGTGCTATGTTTAGAATATAGTCGCACGATATCATTTGCGTTAATATAATAAGCAACACGCTTATATGTTCTCAGTACAGCACAGCCTCGAGTGTCTTATTGCTTTTATTACTTTCATTTAAACGTAATTTTATTAAGCCAATTATTACTGAGTTGCTTGTAGTGCCGTCCAACGATTAATCGTGTTTAATCGCATCCAAAATAAAAGTTTTTGTTTACATAATGTGTTGTGCACATTATGTAGATGCGATTAATCGCGACGACTCGTTTGACAGCACTAGTTACTACACAACATCAACAAAACGATCTTCGCTTCGCAGTGATATGGCGAAACACTGTATCAACCAATCAGCATTCAGGACCGGTACTATCTGCTACAACAGTGCCTGCCCACTTTTCAGCAGCTTTGGTCCTGCAAGTATTTTTCCCGTACTGGTTTTTAACAAATCTTCGTTTGAGTTATGAATCAAACCAACCAGCTACAATTGGTTTGAAGAAAAGATTATTTGAAAATCGGACTACAATGCCATGAAGCATTGATATAATTGATATAGTGATTAAATAAAAACGATGGAAAAATATAAAACTGATTTAGAGATGATTATATATTAAGAAACTATTTTTTAAATAGTCATATTATGCATACAAATATATTAAGACGTTTGAGAGCATAGGAATAGTAGCACCCAGTATGTCTGTTTTTAATGCTTTATAAGTTGTTAAAATAATTTTTTCTATGGAGAAAATTAATAGGATTTTTTTTTTACTTCCAAAACTTGACTGTTGTACTCTACAGAACTAAATATAGTAAGATGTTATTTAGCTATGCATAATTGCTGTAAATTAATCTATTGTTTACTTTTTATGTAGGGAATTTGCTTCAGGATCCAGTTGCACCAAAAAAATCCTCCTGCCAGCACTATGTTTGCAAGGGTTGTAAAGGCAAGAAAATGTTATTGAAACCATCGTGCAGCTGGTGTAAAGACTATGAGCAATTTGAGGAGAATAAACAGCTCCAGATTCTGATCGACTGCTACAGGAATCTCTGCGAGTGTGTCTCGGTGTGCGTCACAACAGAGCAGAGTGCCTCGGGGGTCAAGGGTTACCCTGAGATCAAGAAGATGCTGGAGGAGGTGTTGGGGGTGAGTCAGGAACAAGAAGACCTCAGTCCTGTCAAAGACACTTTGGATGTTCCTAATCTCAAAACAGAGACTGACTCCTCACAAAACTCTACTGATGTCAACTTGACTGACTCGGACAAACCCTCTGAGCAGATCCCAGCTGAACTAGAGACCCCTGAGCCTGTCACTGCTGACGAACCTCAGAAATGTGACTCAGAACTACACATGGGTACTTGCACTGTTAATGTAAAGTGCAAAGTTAGTCAAGAGACAAGCGCCGAATCGGTGCAGCCCAGTGCGGAGAGCACAAGCGTCCAGGAGGACCTTAAACCTGACATTACGAGCAAGGAGGTGTCGTGGGGACAGACTAAATCAACACCCGAGCCGTGTCAGAACTCATTACAGTCCCAAACCAGCGGCGCCCTTGCACCAGGACACCCACCACAACCTCAGATGGGCCTAACATGCCTCACCACAGCCCACAGAAAAGTGCACCTGAGCCGAAAGCGCTCTCGCTCTGAAAGTGACAGGGAGATGCTCCAACCTCTGCCCATCACCAGCCTCATCCAGGGGCCATCGGTAGCAGCCACAGCTCCGCCGAAAACCGCATTTGAACCGAAAGCGCCCTCCCCACCTGCTGCCGTGCTCACTAACGGAGGCGTTTTGAAGGTTAATAAGGCTGTGCTGGATTCAACTAAAAATATCCAGATAAACACAGACCTAGGTAATAAGAAAGTTCAGGTGAAGTCTAAAGTGGCCGTCCCGAAGGCAAAGGCCAAAGTGAGGGACAGGCTGCTGTCAGCTAGCGTTTTAGCAGGACAACCAGGACAGCCCCCTAAAGTCGTATACAAAAAGACGCAAGAGAAAAAAGGATGCAAGTGTGGACGAGCCACTCAGAATCCAAGTGTTCTTACCTGCAGAGGACAAAGATGCCCCTGCTACTCCAACCGTAAGGCCTGTTTGGACTGCATCTGCAGGGGCTGCCAGAACTCATACATGGCCAACGGGGAGAAGAAGCTGGAGGCTTTCGCCGTGCCCGAAAAAGCCCTGGAGCAAACCAGACTCACTCTCGGAATCAACCTCACCAGTATTTCTGTCAGAAACGCTGGCACGAACACTGCAGGAGTTCTCAGTCTGTCCGCAGGCTCCCCGATGGCCTCTTTCCTCACGTCCAGCGCAGACGAGGACCAGAGTTTTGAAGATGCTCTCGAGATGCATTTCGACTGTTGATAGCTGTCCTGCTACTGATCTCTCTCTCGCAGCCGTGATCAATTCCCGGTTTATGTCGAACAGAAATTGTTTGCCAAAACTCTTGTCTGTAGTTTTCATGTCCAACCTCTCCCATCACACACAAACACACACTGCTGTAATGGAAAGTTACTGTGAAGCTGAGTGTTATGGCATATTTAGTTTTTATTTTGAAGGAACTGTTCGCTTCTGTGTGGCTGTTTTATTCACAAAGAACTTAGGATCTGATAAATGACTGTTGTTTTTCTTTAAATATTCAATGACCCAAACCTTAAAATGAGTTTTGCAGGTATTTGTGTGATACGTTTGTTGGGTAACACGTATAGCTCATTATAAGCTGTCCCAAAGCAGTTATTAATGTGTTCACATTCTGTGGTGAAATTGGTTTTTCAAATTTATTTTTAAATATATATGAATATATTGCTTCTAAACATTCATCGAAGGTCAAATTATATACAGCTATCTGTAATGCCTGTTTAACGTCAGATAAAATCACAATTTACTAATGGTGGAAAAATGTAGCACTTAGTCCCAATAGTGTTAATGGGTTTTAGACACCTGTCCTGGTTGCTATAGTGGTCACTTCCTGCGTCACCTCTTGGGTGTCCGGCCAGGATATTGAGTTATTCTATTATTATTTTTTTAAATAGGTGGAATAGGTTCCTTATTTTTCTAAATGGAAAATAGTGCCGTGTCACTTTTTATTTGTCATGTTCCAGCTTTGAAAGAAAGACATTTCAATTCCATGTTTGTCGGCGGTTTTGTAAGGATGCTGAAGCACAGATATGTCACAAAAGCTATGTCCTCACTATTGTTCATTGTTAGTTCAGACTGAGCTGACTGTTTCATCAGTCCAGTATCTACAAAGATTTCTCAAACAAGTGAATGTAAGCGTGTTCAGTGTGTTGCCTGAGAATGTATTCATGGCAGTGATATTTTTAAAGCAATATGAGAATTAAAATGTTAGATCTTATAAACCCTTTCCCCACACAAAGTCATCATATTTGTTTTGATGCAAACTGTAAACGAGTATTTCAAGATGTTATTTTCTTTGAACGTTTGCCTGAGCACCTTTTAGCACCCATTCATGCCTCTTTACTCTGATGCTGATTAGTTGTGTTGTGATTCCTGTTCTAGGGACCAAAACTAAAAATATGTGTTGAGAAAGGTCAGTGAACGTGTTTACTGTTACACTGGGCGTTTCATGTCTTATGTAATGAAGCAGGGTAGACAGTGTGCTTCATCCGTATCCTTAAATATGCTTGAAAACACTTATCAGTAGGGCTTTGACCAAATATTGAAAAATCTTCTAGTTAAGTCTTGGATCTTAGTGGGATATCGTGTTGTATTTTCAAATCGTATAGTTTGGTAGCGTTGTTGTATTCCTCTCTTTGCTTTTCAGTGGTCATTACTTGAACTCAGATTTCAGTTTCTTGATTTTTGAATTACTGGAGAACCTCTTATTATTGCTGGTTTATTCACTGCCATAATGAAAATAGCAGAAAGCAACAAAAAATAAATTATAGTTTTTTATTTCTTGTTTTTCAAAACAGTGTGTTGGGTCATGTGTTGTGTGTGTGTGTTTTGTATAATACAGCGCAAATATGATTAATAAGACCTTTCAGATTCAGGCTTAACCGCTAGAGGGCAACAGTGTTACACCATATTAATAGCTGTACTGTACTTCTCATTCAAACATCAAAGATGCAAATATTTGGCTTTAAAGACAATTTCATAATTTAAATGGGAATGATTAGCCTACAGCTATTAATCTTACAATTACTGAAAAGTTGATCGTTCTTGCACCCCAATATGCATTTTGATATTTGATTTTTTGATCATATATCATTTTGATATATGAATGTATACGGCCTTAATTATCCAAAAGAAACAGAACTTATTTGCTTCCAACTTTTGTCATAAAACACTCTATTGTGTTTATGAAAGGAACATAAAACAGTCAATCTAAAGGCTGTTGTTTTAAGTGTCGTTCAAAAGTGCGAGAAGATTTGAAATGCCAAAAAATGTATAGTTTTTTCTAGAATAACTAGGCAGAGTTTTTTTTTATTTTTTTTTACTTTTATTGCAGCTTCAATACATGTTCCAACTTTATTCACAGTAGGAATATGATCTAATTCATTTCAGGTCTTTGGAGTGAAAGTCTAACACAATTGAAATGCATGGTGATGTGAGTTCTGTTTTTTGTTAATGCAGTAGGTGTTAGTAACGACAAGCACAAAAACAACTTTAGCATAATTTGAATCGACAAGAATCTTACAATCCCTTTAACTGCTGAATATAACATGTGCATATACTTGTGTATGTTAATGGAGTCTGAACCGAGTATCAGTTCAAGAGAAGTTCCTTTGTGGTTCTTCTAATTCTTCGTTTGGTTCTTAGTAAATTAGTTAAAAAAATGTATAGTTTTTTCTAGAATAACTAGGCAGAGTTTTTTTTTATTTTTTTTTACTTTTATTGCAGCTTCAATACATGTTCCAACTTTATTCACAGTAGGAATATGATCTAATTCATTTCAGGTCTTTGGAGTGAAAGTCTAACACAATTGAAATGCATGGTGATGTGAGTTCTGTTTTTTGTTAATGCAGTAGGTGTTAGTAACGACAAGCACAAAAACAACTTTAGCATCATTTGAATCGACAAGAATCTTACAATCCCTTTAACTGCTGAATATAACATGTGCATATACTTGTGTATGTTAATGGAGTCTGAACCGAGTATCAGTTCAAGAGAAGTTCCTTTGTGGTTCTTCTAATTCTTCGTTTGGTTCTTAGTAAATTAGTTAAAAAAATACACATAAATGTGTTAGTCATTATTTGAAATCCATAATACAGTTCTTTTAAAATAGCAGAACATCAAATACTTCATTTCTTCACTCGATGTACAATATAAATCCTCGGTTGTGTTGCAAAAGATTGCATCACAATGTGTGAAATCCCTAATAGACACATTTGAAATATAACTACAAATGTTCGTCAAGCCAAGTGATATAATTGTGCACTGCCCTTATTCCCACAGAGAAGTAGCAGGGCCAGAAAGCAAAGCTCACACAGCCATGAAAACCATCTTCGTAATGTTCGTTAGTGACAGAGACCCCTGCCAGCTCCAGCCTGCGGGCATACATCATCCCATCATCCCTCAAAACATCATGCTCACCGGTCATAATGTAAGCACGCGGCACCATACGCAAAACCTTGTCCTCTGCCAGTAACGGAGCAGCTCTGGCATCCAGTAACGCTGGTATATCCTTTAAGATACCTGGAGAGCCTATCACTGGAAACACAGGCTTATAATTTTTTATCAGTTGTTTGGGGAGGAGAGTGGTCCAGTCCAGCTTTGAATGGATCAAGGACATCAGGTTTTGGTCTTGGGCAGTGTGGTTGTTTATAATAAGGGAGTGCACAAGGTCAAGGTCGGCCCCTAGGTACTCCAACCAGAAACGGGCCATTAGCCTGCGATACAGGATGGGAACATTGTGGTTCTGTTGATAGGAAGCTGTGTTGAAGTCTAGTGCCTGAAGCACTGGGTAAACCAAGACCTGCAGTTTGAATTTCACAGTAGTAGTGTTGTCTGTTCCAGTCTAGTGAGAGAGAAAAAAAATGTTGATTAACATAACCACATCTCACTAACAACATTTTATGACTAGGTTAAGGCTCCAACAGATCAAGGTTCATGCAAAAATTAGATAATATTTGAATCTTATAATGTTTTTAAAAACTTTTATATGTAGCCCATCTCCACCACAAAAGACCAAAAAAAAAAACATTATTTGGTAAATCATAATAAAATCATAAAATGTCTAAATTAAGAGCTATAGTAATAATTATGGCATAAAAGGTCAATTATGAGATACTATGTTGAAATTATGAGATAAAAGGTTGAAATTTACCCCAAAAAAGGCAATTATGAGATAAAAAGTTACAATCATGACAAAAAGGTCCAAATTATTAGCTATAAAGTCTAATCATGACATGAAGTCGAAATTATGGGTTACTAGGTCAATTATGAGATAAGGTTGACATTATGAGATATTGACATAATTATGAGACAAACGTAAAAAAAAATTTTTTAGCTCATAATTGTAACAAATTTATGTTAAGACTTTCAATGCATAGTGATTAAGTTCTGAATAAATCTTTGCTTTGAGTTGGATCTTTCTAATAAATCTAAATACCAATTCTTTCACTGATCTATTGTTGAATGATCATGTCACAGTGGTTAACCGATTGGATCATTTTCTACGCAAAGCTGTCTTATGGCTTTGGATGTCATGGAATAAAGCACACAAACATTATGGAGAACTGTTATGATATTTGAGGTGTTTTTGCAGATTTTGAAGCTTAAAGCTCCAGTATTTGCATGAAGAGAGCGTACAAAACTATTCTTTAAACTTCCTTTTGTGTTCCACAAAAGAAATACAATTATACAGGTTTGAAACAACACGAGGGTACGTAAATCTCGACAGAATTATCATTTATAGGAGAACCATCTCTTTAACAAAATATGACCTTAAAAGACACATGTGATTACAATATTACATCATAAGGAATCAAGTAACTGAGTAATAAAGCAGAAGTGTACCCGCTGAGCCACTGCGGCGGCCAGGTTTCCTCCAGCACTGTCTCCACACACTGCTACTCGCTCTGGATCGACTGAATACTTCTCCAGCACTTCTGGCCTCAGGAACTGCTTAGCGGCCCTCACACACTCGTCATACTGCACTGGGAAGTGCACATCAGGAGCCTTGCGATAACTGCACAAAATCAACCCTCAGCAAGACTGATCAAAACCACAGATGAATTTTCTCTTCCCATTCGAATAAAATTATATACTCACTCCACAGTCACAACCACTGCGTCCAGATCAGCTGCCATCTGTCTGCAGAGACTGTCATATGACCCCAACTCTGATGGCAGATAAAGCAGTCACATGAAAACACAACTCGCGCATAATCCAATGAATATTCATCAAGAAATATATATATATATATATATAATGATTCATAAGGAAACCCTTGGACATACTTGGAGCGCCCAAGGCCCATCCACCTCCATGGATGAACATAACTGATCTCCTCAGCTTTCCGTCCTTTCCAGGAGGCTGGTATACACGTACATGGACTCCATCAAACAGGATATCTTCAATCTGGATCTTTTGGTTTGTGATCGGCACCAGACTCTCAAAATTGACAATGGCAGAGTTGATAACGTAGACTCTATGGCTCAAACCCAGTGAGTGAGCAACATCTCCCTACAAAACAACAGGGTCAGTAATCAGTGAACTAACCGTTCCCCTCATTATGATTTTGAAACGCAGTTTGCATGATATTTTTTGGTACATTCACAAGGAGAACAAATGTCAAGACATTGAAAAAGAGAGAAAAGTTCATGAAGACAGTGAATAGGGAACATTTCATCCTGCCCTTGGGTATTATCTATTGTGTTGCCAAGTTGGACAAAGTTCATCCGAACAGGCAAATCAAGGTCATTCTTTAACACATCTCTTCAAAAACAGATGGTCCTCTATTAATAGCTAATAATGGATGTTGTCTGTCAGGTTTTATGTTGTTTTTTCAATGTGATTTTATTAGCTCTGGTCAGACTTTATGTACTAAATGTAACAATAAGTTAAGTTTCACTTAAGTTTAATAACAAAACAAATATAAACCTTTATTATTGTTATTTTGATTTTGTTAAAAAGACATATGACCTCCAAGTTAGGAAACATAGCCATGCTATTTCAGTTTAGAATAAAATATTAAAGCTTTCCAGCCAATCATAATCATCCTTTTTTCAATTCACCTGGTGTACCGTTTACAGTGTGCTACTTACCATCATCACAACTCCCCGGAACGTGGCATCCAACACCATCAGTTTCCATGGTTCTGAGATTGTCCTAGGCAATGGGATGTAGATGTAAAAGGCAACAGCTATTGCTAATAACAAGGTAATTCCGCCAAGCAGCTTCATCATGAAGTGATGTCTCTCTTCTTTTCTCTCTGCAGCTATTAAGGGGTTAGACAACATGACATTGAGCAATTCTACAAAGATTTTTTTTGAAGTTACTGTTACTTCCTGTGAATTGTCTTATAGCATTCTGGGAAATGTAGTCTTTATTCATTGTACAGAATCACTGCAAACTGTGCTTACAAAGACAATAGTGTAAGTGTAATACCTTTTTTAATGCACATTCATTCTCACTAATGAGGTATGATGAGCAAAAATTTTGTCAGAATCTACAATTTATAGAATTTCATCCTCCAATACAAACTTTGTATTTTTTTAAAAGATCAGAAATCTTGTTAGACCACATTTTTAATGTAAATGTGTAATATGATCCTTTTCAGTGATATTAGGGGTTCGTATTAGTTTTACTCCTTGACCTCAACAGTCATGTCAGATGTACACCACTAGGGGTCATTGTTGTTGTGAGAAAAACCCTCATAGGACCACTTACTGTACATCTGAGGATTATAGAACATTTTAGACATTTAATATGAACAAATATTAATTAACATTAAAACACTGCTGTGAGAAGTCCCGGTCTCACGCAGTACACGTAGAAGGGTGTTTTATAAGATAAATAAATAGAAAATAAGAAGATCAAATAGAAATAGAGTGCTATTGTTTAGGGTCAAGTGTAGATGGAAGAGATGTGTCTTTAATATGATCGGATCGAGTTGGAGGGAACAGTTAAGGTAAAAGTCAGTCAAGCTGCATTTCATTACAGCTGACGAAATGGATTGTGTCACAAAAATGACATATTTAGCATATGCCAAGTGAGTAAGGTCTGTGTTGAGCTGAAAACCAGACAGGTTCTAATGGTAGGTTTGAAGTTTACCATAATCTCTCCTCACCACAGTCCATGCATGCAGTGCATGTGCGCTGAGCTCTTCTGTCCAAACCATCCCTAGACGTTCAGGATTTTTGTTACTTCTGTGCAGTGATTACTGTAATTGTAAAACGACTGTGGCTAGCTCATCGAGGACTGCCAAGTCAGGGGAAAAGAGCAGCAAGCTAGGGTTTCTGCCATACACTGGGCTCTTTGGTCTTCACAACTGTTGTTTCAGCATTATCTATCATCCCTCCCCTCTTATTATGAGACAGTTGAGGCTTGCAACTGTTTGCTTTTGTTAAACGACTTTGGTCAGAGTAGAATTGGAAATATCTGCTGAAAAGACGTCAAGGATGGAGTGACGTTGAACCAAAGAACCCATTTAAAACTAAACTCGAAAAAGTTCTCAGTAATCTACAGATAGCACTGCTATAACTTTATGAGACTAATTTTCTTCAGAATAGCTAGCATATGGCTAGCACTGAAAGTAGATTACTGTTAGCCTGTGGCCCAAATAGCCATACTAAATCAAACATTTTCTAAATGAAACCATCTGTGGTGTGAAAATAATTCTAACATGACCAAAAGTATTATGACTACAGGATTATAGGAGGTTTTAAAGGACTAAAAAGCAGAACGATGCTAAACACATGCTCCCTGGGTTTCAATGGTTCTCACACAACATACTATCAGAAACAAACACCGCTATCTTTCTTTCTCAGAGACATTGTGTCATGTCAGTTATCATTCCTAAATCGGATGTCTAAAGAAAATCAGATTGGTTTAAACTCAAAGGATCAGTGTGCTTACCTCCAACCTCTCAAACACAAAATATCATGAGAAAATTCAGCTGTTACACCTGGACCTATTTCTTGTTTGAGGCCATGTCACTACTAATCTTTGCTTTTGAAATGACATTTAAGAGACGTCATATCCCCCACAAATGATCATGGGAGTCACTTCTCTGAAGGTGTGGACACATACCAATGACTAACATGAGGTTTACCCTGCTAGAAAAACCAGGTTAAAGTGGCCAAGCTGGTTTTGACCATGGAAACTGGTTAGATCAAGGGGTCTTGTCAGCTTTGCAAAAATGGTCTACCTGCCTTAACCAGGCTGAGCTTGGCTACAACTTGGTTATACCAGCTAATTATAATAAATAACAAACTAGAAGTGAAAATGTGCAGTCGAATGTGCACTATTTCTACCTGACCCAATCCTAAAAACAGGTTTTGGTGACATATAACTGACATTTTCAGTCATATTGATTACAGTGGTTTTCAAAAATCTTAAACCTGAAAAACATGATGTAAAATCAATAAGAAATATTCCAGATAAAGATTTTAAGGCCACTGAGAAGTTGTGACATGGATCATGTGACTCTGTACAGGCGGTCAGATGTTTGTCCTTTTATGAAAGCTGAAGATGCTCTCTGGATCATCTCAAATCATGCAGGAGAACATAATCATCAGTTTTGACATGAACTCGAAGAGTTCATGTAGCACAAGTGCTGCTGTCAATAAAGCAAAAACCAAATACTGAGACATTCTGAAATTAATTTTTCAGTTGAACTTTTCACTAAAATTATGCTGATAATACAATCTGTAATGGAAAACCAGATTTTCAATTAAAATTATTACTAGTAGTCAAAGACTTTTGGAACCCACTGTATTTTTTGAGTTCTGTATTAGCCATTTGTTCATTTTTGATATTTTTAGGTTACCTGACAACAGTTTTTGTTTTAGTACAGATGAAGATGAACAGGCTGAAATGTTTCACTCCCTCCTCTTGAAAGTTAATTTGTTCTCTTCACACATAATGGTAAATCTATTGTTCTCAGATACAAAATGAGTGAAAACTGACAGTGACATTACCTCATTGTTTAGACATACACTGTAAAAAAAAATCCGTGACATATGGTAACAACATTTTAGGTTTTACAGACTTAATCTAAATTCACAATAAAATACCGTATTTCATTAACTGATGTAATGTTAATAAACCAACATATTTAAGTACTAAAATCTGTTTTGAACCATTGTAATGCACTGATAACCACCAAAAACCACTGGTGGTGATGAGAAAGTCACATGATGAACTAAAGCTCATCACAAACAGCTCGTCTATGAGCTGAGGAGGACAATACTTATATATAGAAGTTGCACAGTGTCATTCACACAAACACTAAACCCCATCATGGTGACACACATGATACTGAAATAATGCAATAAACATTAATTTAACAACATTAGATGTAAGATTAAACCCTAGTGTACACAACTGATAAGAAAAAACTAAAAAGAAACATGTTATTTCAACAAAAAAACATGAAATATGAAGTGTCATATCTGAGTTTGATATCTGACATTTCTTTTTCACTTACAAAAACCGTATTTCTAACAGTATTTTACTGTAGAATCACATTAAATGTAATTAAATTTGTTCACCGAATATAGTATGTAAACTTACTGTTAACCAGTTCACAGGTTTTTACTGTAGCATTTTTACAGTCTTTTACTGTTAAAATCACAATAATTTTTTACAGTGTATGATAAGAGTCAAGTAGACAGGCAACAGAGATTATTTTTAACCAAATCTCCTCAGTGTTATAGAGCTTTTGGGTGGACATGAGGCTCCTCTGTTTGGACACCAGTTATGAGCACTGAGACCAGCAGTAGTGCTGGAGGTCTGGATGTTTTATGTCCCCAGTTCATGCCATTCCTGTCCTGTCTCAGACAGGGTCGCAGGGTTCTCGCTGGTCAGAGGTACAGCAAGGGGACAGTGACCCTTTCTGGCTCTTCTTTGGCTCCAAAATATGCTCAGTGTTGACAGGTTGACTGATCTGAATCTTGTGTTGTAGAGACGCAGCAGATTTTGAGAGGCTAGTGTCAGGATCGCATAGATGGAATGAGGAGACATGACCTCTTGATACACAGATATCTATATAGATATTTAAGCTATTGATAAGATTTCCACAACTTTCCACAAATTAAATCACATCCAGAGGTTTGGAAATGATAAGTTAAAGCTTGGCAACATGCATTTTTATTTTATTTATTACTTTCATTTTCTCACCAAAAATCCCCAAATTAAAAACAAATTTGTTTTATTTTTAAAATACCTGCTGGATCTCAATACACTGATGTATCATAAAAATTGAAAGGGTGTTACACCCTTTTAGGGAGCAACACACCCCATATCACATCAATGGAAAGAAACAACTATAAAAAGACTCACACTTGCTTTATAAGCTTTGATAATGGATACTGGCAAAGCCATGGAAGGCAAATCCAGGTAAACACCCATGAGAAGAGATGTGAGACAACTAGAGAAAAAAGCTCCCATAATTCCCTTCACATGGTGTTACTTGGATCAGTAACACTTGGCCCTCCGAACAGCTTGTTGAAAAAACAGGAGGCTTATTTCTCCATATGGGGCATCCTTTACACACTCTGAACGAGAGACTCAGATTGTTTTACTCACAATGACATCATCTTTTCTCATGTTCCTCTGGGCTGGAGTTGCACTGCTGGCCCCAATCAGCAGAGAAACATCAGCCAACCTTCATTCACTGCAGCTCCATCTGAGAGAAGAGAGAGGAGAGATGAAGTCACAGAAAGTCCTTAAAAGTCAAAAGACTCCTTTGTCCAGGCCCTTACTGTGCTAATCCAAAGCAGAGTGACTTTAATGAGTTTTTGAGATTAAAGCTCTTTGATACCCCTATCGGCAGCTTTGACTAAGAGTCACCGAGCTCTCGTGTCCCAAGAGAAATGAAATTTAGAATCTGAGCTCAGATGATTACTCCTTTAGGCCCCACCACTGTTTAAAGAAACAATTGACCCCCAAAATTAAAATTCTGTCATCGTTTACTTACTCCATGTCATTGCAAACCTGTATGACTTTCTTTCTTCTGTGAAAATCCAAACAAGATGTTTAGCAGGATGTCTGAGCTGCTCTCTTATTAAAGTGATGATTGGGGACCAGCTGTCAAACTCCAAAAAGGTCAACATGAGTAGTGTGGAGAAGGTTACTTTGGAAATGTAATAGGTTTACAGATTAAAGTAATGTAACTAATTACATTTGATTACTTTTTGTTTACTTTTCTAAATTTAAAGCTGGCAGGGTTAACCTTACAGTAGTACACTAACACTGATTACTATCAGA